AAAACTGGTTCTTTGGCCAAGGAGTTTCCCATATTCAGAAAGACTTATCCCAAAAGTTACATTTCTCAGAGACAAAGATGTGTGGCTTTGAAAACCTTGTTGAATAAAGAGTTTATTGGGACTTAATGAACATAAAGAAAAGCCTTTGTAACTGTCATCCAAAGCCTCCTCTTTCTCCATGCCCAACCCTTACCATCTCTGCCAGCATATTTTCCCAGTCATCTCTCTCTTTAACCTCCACCTTCCTCCCCACTATATATCCTGGGTGATACCCTAAGAGCCTCCTCTCTCTCTAACCACTTTTCCCGAAGAGAAGCCTCGCTCCTCTCTGTTTCAGAGAGAGCATGAACTGTGGTTTTATTGTCCCTAATACAATTAGCAATTGACAGATTCCTGAGAGAAATTTCCTATATTTAGGGAAACAATCAAATCAACTAACAGCATCCATGTGACATGAAAGTATGTGATTGACTGACTGCACCAACTCTTCATATCCTCAGAGGGAAGATTTTCTTATATCTTGGTTCCCCTTCCCACATACAACTGAGGAAGCCCTCAGAGTACACTGACAGGGATTTAATAAAATGTTTCTGAGAACGCCTGTCCCCACCTCAGGGATTGGTAAGTCTCTACCATAATATCCTCACATCAACTTAGTCTCTAAGCAACCGGAAGGGTAGGTTTACAAGATACCCACTGCATTACCGTACCTCCTACCACGTCTCAAACATAATGGCACTTAGTAAATAAATGTTTAACTAAGGTGGAACTTAGCCCCTCAGGACATGCCTGGACCTTCATTGGCTACCAGATCACATAATATCTGACACTGGCTCTAGTCAACACTATACATTGCTCAAGGTTTTGGAAATTGGCCTATTTTAGTCAGAGTAACACTATTAAAAAGGCGATAAGCAACAGATGCTGGTGAGGTTGCAGAGGAAAAGGAACACTTTTACACTGTTGGTGAGAACTTAAATTAGCTCAACCATTGTGGAAGACAAAGATCTAAAGCAGAAATACCATTTGATTCAGCAATCCCATTACCGGGTATATATCCAAAGCAATATAAATCATTCTGTTATAAAGATACATGCATGCATATGTTCATTGCAGCACTGTTCACAATAGCATAGACATGGAATCAACCCAAATGCCTATCGATGACAGACTGGAGAAAGAAAATGTGGTATATATACACCATGGAATGGAATACTATGCAGACACAAAAAGGAATGAGATCATGTCCTTTGCAGAGACATGGATAGAGCTAGAAGCCATTATCCTCAGCAAACTAATACAGAAACAGAAAAACAAACACCGCATGTTCTCACTTACAAGCGGGAGCTGAACAATAACACATGGACACATGTGGGGGAACAACGGTGCCTGTTGCAGGGGCAAGGGGAGGGAGAGCATTAGGAAAAACAGCTGACGGATGCTGGTCTTAATACCTAGGTGACAGGCTTATCTGTGCAGCAAGCCACCGTGGCACACATTTACCTATGTGACAAACCTGCACATCCTGCACCTGTACACTGGAACTTAAAAGTTAAAGAATAAAGAGAAAAGAAAATCAATTTACCACAGATGTGCAGGTTTTGTTTTGGATTCTAATTTCCAAACATTGATCTGTCTATTCTTATGCCAGGACCGAATCAAATTATGTGAGAACTCTTTTCAGTCACGGTGCACATTACCAGTTGTATATTGTCGTAATGAAAGTTTGATGTAGAGAAGAAAAAAAAGAAACTGGCCCATTCATCCTTGAATACAGAGACAGTAGCAGAATTATTACAGTCAGTCTCTTTATTTGAAATCACTTATTCCCCTACCTAATTTGTTATATAATAAGGAGGGAATATTGTCTTGAGAAGGCAACCTGTTGAGTGAACAAGACAGTTCACTGGGATTAGGGACACCTGAGTCCTTCTCTTGGACCAGAAAATGTTCTTTCCCTTCCTTAGTTTCTAATGTTCTCATCTCAGTGTCTAAACTCAATTTAGATTATTGGAATATTCAAAACCAAGATAGATTTCCAAGGTTTGCATGATAAGAAGACCTTCTAAACAGGGGATCACTTTCAACACAATAGACCCTTCTGCTGTCACAAAAGCAGCAGGCCCCTTCTTCCCCAAGTGGCTCCTTCTGATAGTAAATGAGCAATTAAAATTGTCCCTATACTATGCTTATTACCCGAGTGACAAAATAATCTGCACCCCAAACCCAGTGACACACAATTTACCTGTATAACAAACCTGCACATGCACCCCTGAATCTAAAATAAAGAAGTTTACAAAAAGATGATCCCCTGCATGGTTGTGCCTGCAGTGAAGCTCTTCAACTCATCTGTGAGAGGCTAAATAATCCTCAGCATGTGCTCTGATACAGACTGAGACTGGTGAATGGTAACATCATCACAGAATAGCAGTGGGATGAGGATTACGGTGGTGAGAATGATGACAGTGTCATTTTAAACTAAACCCTTCCCGTTAATTAATGGAAGTGAAACCAAGTACCTAATGCAAAAAAAAAAAAAAAATGCTCACTTTATAATCCCAATTGAGAAACTAGACCAGGCATCCCCAAACTTTTTACACAGGGGGCCAGTTCACTGTCCCTCAGACCGTTGGAGGGCCACCACATACTGTGCTCCTCTCACTGACCACCAATGAAAGAGGTACCCCTTCCTGAGGTGCGGCGGGGGGCCGGATAAATGGCCTCAGGGGGTCGCATGTGGCCCACGGGCCGTAGTTTGGGGACACCTGAACTAGACATTCAAGTTGGTAGGTAGCTTTCTGTGAAACTTACTGAAGAACAGTGCCCTCCTTGGTTATCCAGTGCTTATCATGTGCTATTGCTTTTTGCTGCTGTCTTTTTCTATTGGGTTGCAAACTTGGGGAGGGCAGGGAGGATCATGTCTATTTTGCTCACCTTTGTGTCTTCAGTGCCTGACAGGTAACATGCTCCATGAACATTGCTGAATAAGTAAATGAATGTGCTTTACAGTAGTGGTGTGAATAGTGTCTCTCCCAACTTCGGGTGGGTGTGGAACCTTGGAATGTGACTTTATTTGGAAATAGGGTCTTTGTAGATGTAATTAGTTATCATGAGGTCAAGTGGATTACGGTGGGCCTTAAATCTAATGTGACTGGTGTTCTTAAAGAAAAGGAGAAGACACACAAGATACACATTTGAAAGAAAGCCCTGTGAATATAGAGGCAGAGCTTGGAGCAATACAGCTACAAGCCAAAGAACACTGAGGATTGCTGGGAGCCACCAGGAGCTAGAAAGAAGCAAGGAAGGATTCTTCTTCTAGAGCCTTCAGAGGAGCATGGCCTTCCGACACCTAGATTTCACGTTTCTATTTGCCGATACTGTGAGAGACTAAATTTCTGTTGCTATAATTTACCCAGTTTGTAGTAATTTGTTTCTGTAGCCCTAAGAAACTACTTCATGGCTGAATAGGTTTTTTTCACTTTCAACACAATAGACCCCTCTGCTGTCACAAAAGCAGCAGGCCCCTTCTTCCCCAAGTGGCTCCTTCTGATAGTAAATGAGCAACTAAGATTGTCCCTATACTATGCTTACTACCCAAGTGACAAAATTTGTAAAAAGTGTGAAAATGACACTATCACTTAAGTAATTCTTTGCATCAGTCTGATGGAGTTAGAAAGGCCTTGGGAAATCATATAGTCTAATCTCATTATCATTAAAAAAAAACGCTAAAGAAAGTAAGACTCAGAGAGATAAATTACTGAATTAGTACTAGAATTCAGGTCCTCTTCTTCCTGTACAAATATATCATACATGCAATGCTTTGACTATTTTATAAAAATAATCCATAAGGTATTATGTGATTGTTAAAGCTTTGCTGATTATGTTGTCTACATTTGTGCAAGTAGACTTAAAACCTTTTTTAAAAAAAGAGTCTTTCTTCCCTCTGTGATGACATAAATCCTTCCTCCAATTTTTCTTCAAAAAATACTAATGCCAGAAAAGAAAATCAATTTTAAAAATAGCCAGCCAACATTCTAAAAGTTCAGACTTGTGGACTCGTGGTCAGCTATAATAGAAGAAGATAGGACTGGAATTTAGACTGAGTCTTAATTTCTAATCCTGACCTTTCTCTGCAAACCCAGTCAAGTCTCTATGCCTCAAATTTCCTCCATGTAAAACTATAATCTTTCTCCAAGGTCTTAGTGAAGAAATGAGGTCAGAAGAAGTAAAAAGCTCTGCAAAGATGAGAGACTGTTACTGCAAGTAGTACATCAAGTAATACCATTCAACCTCCCTGCTAGCCATCCATCCATGCAAACAGACACAGACAACTCAAAAAAGGTTTGAGTTCAGGCGTTATTGTACCATATACAGGGCCAGATGAATACCCATGGGGGTCTTAGAAGCTAAAAACTGCAATCACCCAACACACAAGTAATTCAAAATACGTTTTACATTACTAAACTATAAAATAAATGTTTTACAACTTATTTTATAACTCATTGAGATCTTTATGTTTTCCCTTGATGCATGTTTTGATGGTTCTTTATAATTTTTATAATACTGTCATTCCTATCCTGATCTTTGATACTGTTTCACTGGCTTTCTAGGATGAAGCTCTGGCTGCCTGCAGGGGAGCCCAGCCCTGAGGGTACACCACTGAAACTCACTGGAGCCCTCACTTCCCTACCTGTACAATATAGTACTTTGGGAATTAGGGCTCTCTAACCACAAGCTGTTATTAAATTAGTACAAGAAGAATTAAAGTTCACGTCTGTTTATCCATCTTTCTGTCAAGGAGCATATGTTCTTAAATAGAATTTGCATGTTATCAAGCTAGGCAAACATAAAAATTAATAACCCAACTAAGTTGCATTTCAGAATGAAAAGTCTACTGAAAAAAAAAAACTGGTTATGCCAGTAATATTCCCCAATGCTTCCAAAATTGTGAACCAGATGATACGTCTCTTGTAAATCTAATTTCCTGCTTTATTTTGTAGCCAAGTCATTGGAGAATTGGATGAAATATATCAAAATAAGAAATGGAAACAGCCTAAGCCATGTGATCTAGGTATGTAATTTTAGATCTTTGAACGTGTAAACAGACACTGAACCGAATAACACTTCATAACCTCATAAATTCTCTCCTTCATTCTTCCTTTGTTCTAGAATGCACCCATGAGCTCTTAATTAGAAATCTATGTTTAAAAATAATAGAATTCTTCCAAGGTGGATTTTTTTAATCCTAAAAATTACAGTGGGGAAATCAAAAAATGTATGAAGTTATGGTTAACTTTAACTGATATGCTTTCTGAGATTTGAGTTACTGTGCATGTGTATGCATGTGTACACATACTACAAAGTCAACTTTTTGGTAGCAATGTTAATGGAAGCATGTTCGTGAATAATGATAATAATCTTAGCTTTCACAAAGCTGTGTATCAATTGATCCACACCACAACCAAATTCCAGTCTTGGAAATGAGTAAACTGATGCCCAGGGAATTTCAAAGAATTTACTTGGGGTCAAGAGGTAAAAGCCTGGACTGATAAAGTCTGGTTCCTGTCCCACTGCACTCCCTTTGTACTCCAACGACTGCTCCAAAATGAGACGATGTTTTATAATTTTGTGTAAACAAATATTGTAATTCCATTGTTTTAAAAGATTGGTTAGCAAAAGTATGGGTGACCACAAATGAAATATACAAAGCATAGGATGCTGGAAAATTTGCTTTCAATTCAGCTCTACCATGTATTTCATTAGTGACTGGAGACATAAACCTTTCTACTTGTAACTCAGCTGGGTTCGTTTTTCCTCTTTAAATAGTGGTAACAACACGTTGTGTGTAGCTCCTCTAACCCAAATGATGCAAAAGGATTAACTTTCATTTTCCATGAATGGAGAAGCCCTGAAGTTGGGGGAAGCTGCCACTTGAGAGGGAAGTAATTGCTATATGTAAAACAATAAATAAATAAAAAAGAATTGGAAGGCCAAGGTGGCCAGCTCCTAGATGAGGCTGGGTCCCAAGCAGCCGAGGTCAGAGAAGAGGAACGGAGAGATTGTACCCATAGATCTATGCCTAGAGCCTTTCTGCTTGTTTCCCAACTCTCTACTGTGTGTGTATATTTGTGTCTGTATGTACATACATGTGCAATATTTTTCAGTATCATCCCCACCCTAATTATTCTGTCCTATTTTGAGTACCTGGATCAAAACATTTATCTGAATATTTCATTTAGAAAATATCATCACTGTGCAAATAGTGAATAATATTAGCTGCCCCTGATATTGTTCATTCTCTTATATGTGGATAAGCACTTGACTGCCTGAGAATAGTTTTCTAATATTTTTTTCTAATCTTACTTCTTCAGGAAAAGAAGATTCGCTGTCTTCAAAGCACGAGAATGGTTACTTTTACAGTGGTGCCCCCTAGTGCCGATCGGATTAGACTCACTTTCTATATTTGCCAAAATACAGACCACACAAGAGAAGCAAAATTTGGAGAATTTACAATGTTGGTAACTTTTCCTGCATTTTCTTTAGCGTAGGAGAGAATGAAGCATGTTCCTTTACCATGATTCACAAGACCCTTTGTGAAATGCTTTCCACCCCCACCCCCAGCTTTCCAGCTTCACCTCCACCACTTTCCTGCCAGAACACTTAACTTCAGTTATTCGGAACAACTTGCCATTCCTGCTTAGTAAGCTGTCCGCCCCTACCTACCCATTCCCATCCTCCTGTCTGCTTAAAGAATTTATTCTCCTTCTTCTAGTATCAGCTGAGGCATTATCTCTTCCCCTAGGTTTTCCTGACTCCCCAGAAGACTGAGGCAGCCCCTCCCTCCTCCCTGCTCTCCTCCTCCCATTGTCCCTCTAGCATGTCACTCTTTTGTCCCCACCCGGCATCTTGACTGTGAGTGCAAATAGTTCAAAAACCTTCTCTAAGGGACGTTTATATCTCTCATGCCTCAAACAGTGCCTAGCACAAGTAATCACTCAATGTAAAAAAAAATCAGTGTAAGGATGGCTCGCTTGATAATAGGAAGAACTGTAGTGTAGGAATCAGGAGTTTCTGGTGAATTAATCACTAATGGTTCACCTACCCTCTCTGGGTTTCTGTTTTCTTATCTGTAAAGAAACTATGTCTAATACCTGCCCCAAATCCAGTGATTCTTAACCCAAAATGCCTTATGACAAGCCAGGTCAACTTCAGATGTTGTTTTAATTCTCAAAGGTTTGCTTATGAAAAGCAAATACAAATGCCTTTGAAATTATCTTATTTGCAGGTCTATTATTAAAAAAGAAGTTCTAAAAGGTTGCTAAATTACATGGTGACATTGAAATTAAGCTAATATGAAACAAGATTTTTTTTTTTTCAGGCAAACTCCTATTTCTCTTATTAAATGATACAAAGAAAGGTCCAACTTGTAGCCCAAAACTTCATTAAGAAACTATGAATTCTAATTCTGGCTCTCACTGATACAGAACTGGTCAACTCACTTTTTTTTTTTTTTTTTTGAGATGGAGTTTCGCTCTTGTAACCCAGGCTGGAGTGCAATGGCGCGATCTCGGCTCATCGCAACCTCCACCTCCTGGGTTCAGGCAATTCTCCTGCCTCAGCCTCCTGAGTAGCTGGGATTACAGGCACACGCCACCATGCCCAGCTAATTTTTTGTATTTTTAGTAGAGACGGGGTTTCACCATGTTGACCAGGATGGTCTCGATCTCTTGACCTCGTGATCCACCCGCCTCGGCCTCCCAAAGTGCTGGGATTACAGGCTTGAGCCACCGCGCCCGGCCCAACTCACTTTTTAAGTGCCTCCACTTCTGTTTTTCTCAGCTGAAAAAGTGTTAAGAATGTAAGCCTGTAACAGTGGGAATTGCTGAAAAAAAGTATCACTAAAAGCCTTCACATCTTTGAGGGTAACAATAAAGGTGATATGAATCTTGGAAGAACCAAGTTTCAATGGCTTCAGTGAGGTTTCTCAGGCCTTATAGGTCAGCTTTTACTGCCTTTGTTCTGTAGCTGAAGTTTCAGGTAAGAGTGGAATCCTGACAATTTAAGTGGATATCTCAATATAATATCCAAACAATGTGTATTGATTTTAGTGGCAGGAGCACAGAATTATATACCTGGTGTCATGAATATTCTTATAGGGCATTCACTGCTTTTCCTTTTCTAAATAGTGTGTTTTGCTAATCTGGAATGGGTCATTTAGATATGTACAGAATATATAATTTAAGTATAGAAAAGTATATATATGCAAATTTGATTCCCCCCAATCCCTTCTCAGGAGCCAAGAAATCCATAAGCTCAAACACAAAAAATCTATTAACTCATATTTTATATTTCTCAAATCCTTATATTCCTTCTATGAATATATAAACTATATACTCACAGGAGATTGAGCTGGAAGACATCTTATTGATCATCTGATCCAACTTTCTCATAATACAGATGATAAAATCAAGGCCCAAAGAGGAAAGTAAATTAGATGAGGAGTGGGTAGGTCTCACTTTTTTTCTGGCATCTTGAAAACAAAATCGTCTGCATTTCATGTATGTAAATAGACCTAACCCAGTGATGAGGAAACAGAGGCTACCAAATAAACGTAATTGACGGGAAAGTTGACTGCTGAATGGAGCTTAGTAGCTATGTCTGTATTTACAGAGTCATTCATGTAGGCAATTATTTTATAAGGCTAAAAAATTCAATCTAAGAAATAAAGGGAAAATCATAATTATTTCCCAAAAACCTTTCTCCTGCAATAAAAAAGATCCAATTTAACTGGGTTAAATGGTGAGCATTCCAGCTCTGTTTCACCTCCAGTACACATCACTGTAACTTTATGTCTTATAAAAGTAGAGGTTTGACTTGCCTCACCACTACCAACACCGCCACCACCACCCCTTCAATCCCTCAATCAAAATTCCAAACAGAATTGTAGATGAGTTTTAAACGGCTACTAGTCTATGCCTCTTCTTCAAGAGCTGCTGTACAATGTTCTCTCTCAATCACTCTGTCTTTGTCTCTCTCAAACACACACACACACATTGCTGCTACCACTGCCACCAACACTATTTGGTAAACCATCAGGTTCTACGGAAAAGACATACAACCCATCTATGCTATCCTTCTCATAATAAAGTGTAAGTAACAAATATAATATTAAATATAAGGACCCATTGTGCTGTCCCATATCCTATAACAATATAAGAAATTACATTAGCTAGAGATTTAAAAAATTTATAATTAACATTAAGTGAAGAATTTCAAATATCTGTGCAAGAAAAAACATCTATATTCAGAGTAGAAAGGAGCATGTTTCTTAAGCAAACAACTCAAATATACCACCTATGTCTTGCTTCCATCTCTGTTCCAGGACTACAGAAGCTAATTCTCCCCTAGAGATCACTCACCATCAGGTTTGGGGTCCTAGAAACGAGCGCCCAGCTTTTCTTCCCACAGCTTTCCTTCTGTCCCAGAGTTGCTGGATGACTTGTCAGAAAGGACCCCCTGTTTTTCTCAACATCTCCTGGGTATTGATAGTCCAAGGTGACCCCAACCACCAGCAAGCTGTACGTCTGTGTTTCACCTTTTGCTCTCTCCTGCTCAGAGCCCTTGTGCAATCAGTTAGCCCTGAATGGAGCCATGTGTCCTGTGTTTTATCATCCCATGGTGTAAGGAAATATGTAACACTGTGGTTGTTTGAAAAAGCACTCTCAGGGCTCCCAGACTTGGTGAATGCACTCAGCTGTTCTATTTTCGGTTACTCTCTTTGTTTTCTTCTCAAAAGAGCCTAATTCCGGTCGATGTCTTAGGCATCCGGTCGATGTCTTGGGCATCCTGCCATGGACACCTTGCTCTTCCCCCACACCCTCTCCTCGAATCGCCTACTTTAATTGCAGCCTAAGAGTTCTGCAAGAAGACCGTAAACGTGTGCTGCGATGAAGAGAGGATAAGTGTACTGTCGTGCTCACTGGTCTGCAGCCCTGAGCGTGACACCGGCAACACTTCTGGAATTTGGAGACACGAGCACTCTCTGTGGTCCGGTGATCACAACCACACACACTCTCACCAGCCTCCGTGCACTGAAAACCCTATTTCCTGTAGGCAGACAAGCCCAGGCATTTGCCAAGACTGCTCACGTCCTTCTGGTTTAATTGGAGGTTCTTAGTCTCAGACAAGACCATCAGAAATCAAAGTTTGTACTGCCTGACCTTTATCAGGGAGAAACATTTCTAACCCAAAACAACCAGCTGGCGAAACAAGATTATCAGACTAGCCCCAGCAAAGGAACATGAGGAGAATATTTTTTCTCCAGCAGCATCCTCTGCAGTGAAGAACATCCTTGAATAAGAAAAAATAATGTAAAAGCGAAAAGTGTGGAACAAGAATAAAGTGAAGGAAAAATGGGAATATTTTAATTAAGTGGGGAAAATACTAGAAAGAATATCCTACTACATGATGTATTTAATAAGGTGGGAAAAAGATGAAATGATGTCTTTAAGTTGTGACAGGCAGAGATAGATTGTGAGAAGCAATATCTGATTAAATCATTGGAGTGAATGAGTGAACACATAGGCGTACACATGCACACACACATTGCTGCCCTATTAATTTGATACTTTCCACATTATTTAAAAACAAACTCACCCTGCAGGTCTATAGAGTTTATGAATATTATGGGAAAGTAAAACTAGTCTCTTTCTTATTTCCTTTTAATATGAATTGCCTGATCAAACACATGACTATCACAATGGATAGACCAGGTAGATCAGTGACTTGAAGCTTCAAAGTGACAGCTTATAAAGGGATAATACCAGGATTCTTGCATTGCAAAGAAAAAGAAAAAAAATCTAGAAGCAGTGACTCTGCCCTACCTCCACTCTGCCCTACCACTGCCACTGCTGAAAAGAAGGAAGGAAAGGAGAGACAGAAGGGCGTTTAACCACACTTTACGATTGCTGTGGGGAGGGGAAAAAAAACTCAACAATTTTAGCATAAAGTTATGTCCAAGTGACTGCACTGTTGAAGCTGCCATCAGCAGGAGCTGGTGGGAAAATAACGCCCAGTGGTGCATCTTACCTGAAGAGCAGAGAAGTGCAGGCAGATGTAGGTGAGGCACAGGAGCAGCCCCAGTCCCTGAATTACAGAGGCCACCAGCAATAGCTTGTTCCTCTCGAATCTTGGCCTGGCTGCATTTCCCGCATTCTCTTCCAGGGGCTGGACCCTTTCCATCTTCACAATCTGAGTAGAGGGAAGATGAAGATATGAAAAAGGGGAACCTGGGATAAAACTGATGTTTTCCCCACAAAGGAGGAGGTAAAGACAAAACAAAGCCTATCAATCAGAAAATAGGCAAAGGTCCCAGGACCAGAGATAAAAGGCGATTGAAAGAGCAAAGCGGACTCTTCTCAGTTTTAACGCTGCAACTTTTGCAGGCAGGCGGGGGAACTTCTTTGTGACTAATCTGAATTTCCCCTTTACTTTCTTTCTTTTTTTTTCCTCTGGGCTAACAGGGAGTTGTTTTTGTGGCATTCCAGTTCTGATTTGAGTGACTGTGAAATGACAGTCATAAAAGTATGCTATTTTCTTAACTTATTGCACCAGTAACAAATTGTGGGTCACTTGGTAAAGATAAAAATCATCATCCGTTGATGTAGGAGCTCATATACCCCTTACCCAAGGTGTCTTAAATCATAGAATAGACTTAGGGGAAATGATGGCCCAAGATTCTTATCTGCACTTTACTATGTAACTAAACATTGAACCCCTCTTACAGATTCAGAAAGAAAGCACACCCAGATCATTCTCAAATGAAAAAGACAAAACAAGAAAATAGGACAGTGGGTCATGTAGAAGTAAAGGAGTGAGATCCTCTGGTTGTAGTCTATTGCATGAAAATAAGCTGCCATTGTTAAAGCATTTACTATGTGTCAGGCACTGCGTTAGATGGCCTCGCAATATTTTTCGCCTTTAATCCTTTGAGGCAAATTCAATAGACAATTATATGACTAATTTTCCGCACACCAGAAAAGACGCAGAAGGGTATCCTTTCTCCCTTCCTTCCAGTTTACATCTTTCCCATCCATAATTTTCCCATGAATGAACAAATGAATAGATGGAAATAAACTTTGAAGATTGTTTCTTTTGGGAGGCCAAGGTGGCGGATCACGAGGTCAGGAGTTAGCGCCTGGCCAACGTGGTGAAACTCCATCTCTACTAAAAAAAATACAAAAATTTAGCCAGGCATGGTGGTGCATGCCTGTAATCCCAGCTACTCGGAAGGCTGAGACAGGAGAATCGCTTGAACCCAGGAGGCGGAGGTTACAGTGAGCCAAGATTGCGCCATTGCACTCCAGCCTGGGTGACACAGCAAGACACTGTCTCGAGAAAAAAAAAAAAAAGTTTCTTTCTTTGAGGTCGTGGCTGGCCTCAGAACTTGGAAAGTAAGAGTTATAAATAGACACCAGGTACCCTTTACCACTAAAATAAACAATACAATGAAATAAATGATAAAACTTACTTATATTGTCAAGTTCAAATTGGCAAATATTTATTGAGTACATTGTATGAGCCTGGAACTGTACAGGACAACATAGGGATGCTGGGGAAGGGCTGTTTAAGACAGAATTGTCTCTCTTCTGTGGCCAAGTATGTGTCTCTGAGCTCCCCATAAGGTGCTCGACAGTTACATAAAGAAAGGAGGGAGAAATATTCTGGATATTGACAGTATGAACTGTTATACGCCACTTGGTTTCACAGAAAAAAAAATGGCAGTGAGGCGTATTTACAAGAAAAAGTTTGTGGAAAATGTGAAGTACAATTTATCACTATGATATTTATTAATCTATTAAAATATGAATTAATACCTTCACTACAATATTTATGCCTTGTGTTTGGAGAATATATTGGTCTTCAGAAATTCAAGTTTCATCTAAAAGACAAGGCAACTAAGGCACAATATCATAGACTCCAAGCCAAAACTAGCAATCAAGTTCTATCCAAACGTATTTGTCATAGTCCTGTGACCAAAGCATCTGTTACACATAGGGTATGGAGAAAAAAGTTGGAGGAAAAATCAGTGCGTAAAGCCCAAATCTTGTGTAATAGTTCATTATAATTGAGCCTTAAAATCAGTAACTATTTACTCATCAATTTTCAAAAAATGACTGGGAGTCACAGCAAAAAAAACCTAGAAACTAGAAATAAACTGAAAAAGAAATAGGAAAAACTATTCATGCTGAAAATCACAGATGATATTTTCAAATAACTGTCAAAAAACGAAAAAACAAACATTTACCACGCACCTACTTGTGCCTTAAGCAGCATTTCTTCTCACTGTTAATATCATGGCTCCAAGGAAGAAAAATCTTTGCACAGAGTCATCTATACCCACATTTAGGCCTACGCTTCAATGGCTCTCCTCTCATCTGCCTTGTCCTGTCCTCCTACTACCATATTTTGCCTAGTTGTAATTTTTGTTGATGTTTAAATGATTTTTATACTTGTTTCTTTTTTTAATTGAACACATTTTCACAGCTTCTTCACATTCTTTGTGGAAAGAGATCACACACACACACTTGGGCTGGAAGTTCCAGGCACGACCTTTTGATAATACTGTCTAGGCATTCCAAAGTTCATCACTGGGCTGTTCCAGCATATGAACCAATGAAACCACTATTAGAGTTATCATTGCTGGCCTTTCAGTCTCAGGCAGATCGGCATCTTCAAAACATTTTGCAAAAAACAGTTTAAATGTTTTTAAAGGGGTCAAATGCATTACTGAATCTATCAGAAATTTTTTTGCATTTGTATTTATTTATTTATTTTGGAGACAGAGTCTCGTTCTGTTGCACTGGAGTACAGTAGGGCAATCGTAGCTCACTGTAATCCAGAACTCCTGGGCTTGAGAGATCCTCCCGCCTCAGCCTCCCAAGAAGCTAGGACTATAGATATGCACCACCAGGTCTGGCAAATTTTTTTTTTTTAATTTCTTGTAGAGACAGGGTCTCGCTATGTTGCCCAGGCTGGTCACAAACTCCTAGCCTTGAGCAATCCTCCTGCCTTAGCCTCCCAAAGCACTGGGTTTATAGGCATGAGACATCAAGGCTGGTGGCAATTTTTCTTAAAGTATCTCACAAATATTAAACACATAAACACACCAGAACAAACCAGCCTTAAAGCCACAGGATGGCTTTATTTAATAACCATTAACCTCCTAAATGAACAGCCATTTCAAGACTACAGAAAATATGGAAAAGAAAAGGGCTTTGACCACTTACAAGTTACCTCATGTTCAGAAAGAAGCAAAAACATTTGGGGGTTTTTTGCTTGGAGGGTTTTGTTGTTGTTTGGATTTTTTGGTGTCTGGGTTTTGGTTTTGGGGTTTTTTTGGTGCTAAAAATCTACGTTTTTCATTTATCTCTAAGTCAGATATTCTGTCAATTCAACAAGACTGACCCAAATACTAGAGGAAAAGACACGAACAAAACACATTTTTAGTCTTCCGGGAGGTCACAGATGGGAAAGCAGAATGTCCACAGCCTGGAAAGTGCGGGGTCCTAAGTGTCAGTTCGGGAGAAAAGAGTGTAGGGGACAGGTGCTAATGTCCACTGGAATTAGGACACGAACAGCTTCCTTGCGATGAATCAAGTCAATCTGGGAGACACGAGAAGCAGAGTGAGGGCAGTGGAGCCTGTTTGTGCAGTGTCAGTTCGGGGAACTGCAGCTGAAGAGGAGGATGGTGAAGGAAAGTGGCGGCTGGAGAAGAAGCTGAGAAGAAGCTGCGTTAATGGGCTTTTGTTACAAGTTAAGGACTTGGGATTTCATGCTGCAGCCACCAGGAAACATGGAGAGGTCTGGAGCCAACTGTGATGTGATTACATTTTAGAATTTAAAAAAAAAAAATCACTCTGACAGAGGGAAATAGAAATGGCAGGTAGTTCAGGAAATAATTCTAGAGGGGCAAAAAGAGAAATGGCAGGGTGGGATCAAGCTGGTCAACGGGGAGACATTTTCAGGGTGTTCTGTGCCACCTGAGGGAATGAATGAGATCTAAAATCCCACCTCTGCAGTCAGGTCTGTAAGCCCTTCATCTTGGCACAGGAGGTTTCCTCCTGTAGGAAGGGACACATTTATCATCCCACAAAGGTGTACTTTGCTTCCCCAGCCCTGAACAAAGGGCTGTACCCATTTAAATGCAGGCTCCTTTTTAAATTTATAAACCCATAGGGGGTGCCTTGTTCTAAAACACACAAAGACAGTGGTATAAGCTAGAAACCTTGAGTTTGCAATGATTCAAGTGTGAAATAAGGTCCTAAACTAAAGCAGGGAGGATACGAGAAGACATTTACAGTGGCTCTTCATTCACCAGACATTGTGAGAGCATACTCAGTGCCAATCTCTGAGCATACACAGGGAGTCATAGATAAGCTCTATGAGCATACACAGAGAGTCACAGATAAGCTGTGCTCTGGGACAAGTGACGTGGGAGGTGACAGAAAAAATGCATTTTCAAATGTCAAAATCTGATGTGCAATCTGCCTTCTCAACCTACTCTGGATCCTAATATCACTGTCCTGATTAATGTTTTTGTACTCCAGCCCCTCGAAATCCAAGAATCAACTTTGAATCCTTTTTGTTCCCAGTCATCAAACTTTGTAGACTAGCCCTGCAATGTAGTTTATACTTTCCTCTCTTTGCCATTCTTACTGCTTCTAATCCAAATTCTTACTACTCCCTTACCTGAGCTCCTGCAGTCAGCTCTCCAAGCATCCTGGCACAGGAGGTTTCTTCCTGCAGGAGCTCCAAGTTTTTCTTCCAAACTTATCTCCCTCTATTTTCTTGTCATTTCTAATATTCACTCTGCCTCAAACACCCTTACCCTCCGCCTCTGACTATCAAAACCCTGCACATTACACACTTCCCCATGGAGGGCTGCCCTGTGAGGTAGTCAGCTTGCCGTGTTCTAGACGTGCTAAACAAAAATCTTGAAGAGATTCTGTTCAGAGAATTCTAGCATTGAGTAGAGGATTTGTAGGATCCATGGTTCCCAAAGCGTAGCTGATCATCTGAATCACTAGGAGAGCTTTTGAATGATTCTGATTCCTAATTCCTTCACTCTAGAAATTCTGATTCCATGGGTGTCTTAGTCTACTTTGTGTTGCTAGAAAGGAATACATGAGGCTGGGTAAACTGTAAGGAAAAAGGGTTTATTTTGGCTCACAATTCTGATGGCTGCAACATTCAAGGTTGGACAGTTGCATCTCGTGAGGGCCTCACGCTTCTCCTACTCATGGTAGAAGGTAAAAGGGAGCTAGAGTGTACAGATAGCACATGGTAAGAGAGAAAGCAAGAGACAAGAGGGAGATGC